GTATTTCACTGTACATAAATTATATTTCAATAAAAAAGCATTTAAAAATAATGAAATGGGACACATAAAGATCAATATCCTAGGCATTAGTGAGCTGAAAAGGACTGGCTTTGGTCATTTGAATCAGAAAATCATATGACCTACAACTCCAAGGATGACAAATTGAAAAGGAATGGTGTGGCATTTGTTGCCACAGGTATGTTTCAAGATCTATCCTGAAGTACAATGCTGTCAGTGATAGGATATTTCCATATGCCTACAAGGAAGACCAGTTAATACTACTATTATTCAAATTTATGAGCCAACTACCACAGCCAAAGATGAGGAAATTGAAGATTTTTTATCAACTTCTGCAATTTGAAATTGGTCAAACATGCAATCAAGATGTATTGATCATTACTGGTGATTGAAATGCAAAAGTTGGAAATAAAGAAGAATCACCAGTAGCTGGAAAAATGGTGCTATAATGCTGGAGATCACTTGGTAGAATTTTGTAAGACTAACAAGTTATTCATTGCAAATACTTTTTTTCAACAACATAAATGGAAGTTATACATGTGGACCTCACCACATAGAATACACAGGGATCAGATTCACTACATTGCTGGAAAGAGGTGATGGAGAAGCTCAGTCAGCTGACTGTGGAATGGACCATCAACTGCTCATATGCAAGTTCAAGTTGAAGCTGAAGACAATAAAAACAAGCCCACAAGAGCCAAAATATGACCTTGATTATATCCCACCTGAATTTAAAGACCATCTGAAAAACAGATTTTATGCATTAAACACCAATGACCGAAAAATAGGTGAAGTGTGGGATGACATCAAGAGCATAATGCACAAAGAAAGCAAAAGGTCATTAAAAAGATAGGAAAGGAAAAAAGACCCAACAAATGTCAGAAGAGACTCTGAAACTGGACAGCAGCTAAAGCAAATGGAAGAAATGACAAAACAAGAGCTGAACAGATTTCAAAGAGCATCTCGAGAAGTTATTAGAATGAAATATGCAAAGACTTGGAGTTAGAAAACCAAAAGGGACGAACACACTCAGCATTTCTCAAGCTGAAAGAATTGAAGGAAAAATTCAAGTCTTGCGTTGCGATATTGAAAGATTTGATGGGCAAAATACTGAATGATGTAGGCAACATCAAAAGAAGATGGAAGGAATACACAGAGACACTGTACTAAAAAGAATTGGTTGATGTTCATCTTTTCAGGTGGTGGTATATGATCCAGAACCAATGGTATGGAAGTAAGAAGTTGAAGGTGCACTAGGTGAATGTATACAATACCATGAGAGCAAGAATGAAGGAATTTCTATGTCTGGCTAGATGTGTCAAAAAACAAACAAACAAACAAACAAACAAACAAAAAACCCAAAACAGTATTTAGGTGAGTAATGAGAGATGCATAGAAATTTATCAGTTAGCAAAAGAGAAAGCCACACCCTCAAGAGAAGATGACATATTTTTTGACAAGATGTGGTTAGGCCAGTAAAGTATGAAGAGGAAGAGCAAGGGATAAGGTTGGGATGTAAGGGATGCCAAAAGTAGAGGTACTAACATTTATTAAGTGCCTATACACTTTGTGTTCTGTATATATTACCTTATGTAGTTGGTAGGATTTACTTTATAGTCAAGGAGAATGAGGCAAATAAGAGGGAAATAAATTTGCCCAAGATCCCATGGCCAATAAATGGTGAAACCAAGGTCTGCCAAGCTCTATGAAATATCTCCAATACCATATGCTAAGAATTATTGTCACTGAAAAAGATTTAGCCATATTAAGTCCTTGGGTAGAGCAAATGGTTAAGAGCTCATCTATTAGCCCAAAACTTGGAAGCTTAAACCCATCCATAGGCACCTTGGAAGACAGATCTGGTAATTTGCTTTCAAAAGGTCACAGCCATTGAAAACCTATGGAGCAGTTCTACTGTGCACACACAAGGTCATCTGAGTCAGAGTCGACTGAACAGCAGCAACTAACAGCACTAACAAGACTGACAAAGACTGAGTCACAAATTGCCACCAGCCCAGGTCTGGTCTAAGCTCCCAGTTGCTACCCTTTTTGGTTAATGGTTATTTCCATAAAGGATTCATTAAGAGTAGATGGTGACTTTCCATTCTCTCAAGACTCACTGTAATTAAATTTGTTGAATAAAATGTTGAGATCATTGGTCCCTGAGCATCTTTGACCCAAGACCTTGCAGCTATTGTGGGAGAAGCTGCTGAGAGAAGATACCTTCATAGACAGCCAATGTATGTTCCTTCATAGATTTCATCTGTTGGTACTTGTTCTACCTTTGGAGCTCCCACACATATAAAATTCCTTTTCCATACAGCATCTCCTGAAATATTGAAAGGAAGTTCCCTTGTCCCTTTACTCTTAAGGTATTTCTCAGGACTTAAGAACAGCAGGTCCTTGAATCAAATTTTATCACTGTAGTGAAAGATCTCTCTCTCTCATTCATACACACCCCACAATGATGTTGTGAATAGCTTAATGGTTGGCATATTTTGGGGCCAATTTTACTGCTATAAATTAGAGAATTATCCTCCAAAAGGCTCATGATATTGTGTCAGGGGTTTCTGCACAGAAATCCACTCTTCAAGTGCTGTGTTCTTGACACACATCTCACACTCAGAGGCCATGGTTCTGTGGAAATGTTCACTGGGGATTAGTAAGAACTGCTGATTGAGAGTTATTCAGGAGACTGACAGCAGATAGCATCTTCTACTTATTCCAGAAACAAAAGACTTCTGGGGTCCTGCATGCCTTCTAAGGACTTTTGGACAAGGCACTAAAATCTTATCCCTACAGCTAAGTGCCAGGCTGTACCAAGTGCAGTAAATACATTATCTCATTACATTATCTCATGCAATATTCACTACAATCTTACGAGGTGATAATACTATCTCCATGTAACTAATGAGGAAATTAAGAACAAGAGAGGTTAAGTAATTTATCCAAGGCAATGACAAAAATTATCAGACCTGAATTCCAAAACTAGGCCAGACTCCATAATCCACACTTTATACTTGTGTTTCCTGTCAATTCTGAGCATAAAGGCATCCTTTATGTTACTAATTGTGGTCTCCATCCTGGACTACTGTTCTAACCCTGCAACGGCAGGAGCATTGCAACCACATTTCCCACCCAGTCATTTAGGTATCATATTCTCTGAAGAAAATATACATAGAAATATGATTTTGAATGTACCACAGGAAGGAAAAAAGAAAAGGGAAGAGAAGCGGCAAGCTTTTGAAGCAGTATTCTTTGAACCCAGTCTTTTCCCTTCAATGTAACGGATGATGTCAGGATTCCGTGTCTTTATTGGTTCTCAAAAGCTTTAATTAGGTTCTTCTCAGTAATTATCCACCACTCATCTGTCAGTTTGTGCTATTATGGTGGCTTACATATTGCTATGATCCTGGAAGCTATGCCATAGTATTTCAAACACCACCAGAGTCACCCATGGTAGATAAGTTTCAGTGGAGCTTCTAGACTAACACAGACTAGAAGAAAGGTCTGGTGATCTACTTCGGTACATTAATGAACACCTTTTCAATCACAGCAAAATACTCCAATTATAGACATGTTACCAGGAAAGACCAATCACTAGACAAGAACATCCTAATTGGTAGAGAACCAGCCAAGACAAAGGAAACCCTCAGTGAGATGAATTAACACAATAGCCACAACAGTGGACTCAAACACCACGTCATGAAGACAGCAAAGGACCAGGTGACGTTTGTTCTGTTATATATAAGGTTGCTATTAGTCTGAGCTGATTTGACAGCAACTAACAACTAAAAACAGTGAATTGTAGCTCTTCTCAGATTTCATAGGTCCACAGAGGAATTCCTACACCAATGTGACCATTTTTACTCTTTTTACTTCCTAATAGTTTGGCACATACATGTTTCAGTATTTCTTCAATTGGGGTGAAGTTACACTCATCTTCCTTGAGACTACCACTTCAGCTTCCAAAATGCCTTTTGAGGATCCAATTGCCTGGAGAACTGGAGCATCATCCTCCAGAACAGGAAAATGAGGTTGCAAATGAGCTCACTGTTGTGTTGTTGTTATGTGCCGTTGAGTCAGCCCTGACTCATAGTGACCCCTCCTTGGGTTTCCGAGGCAGTATCACTACAGAAGTAGATTGCTCAACCTTCCTTCTGAGAAGTGGCCATTGGGTTTGAACCATGAGCCTTCTGGTTAGCAGTCAAGTGCCTTAGGCACTATGCTACCAGAGCTCACTTTGGAAGGTGTGAAATGTACCTTTGAATGCCTTTGTTAACTTACACCCCATGTCAGATGGTAAATAATTCAAACAATCTTCCAGACAAGTTTGCCAGGCCTAAGTCAAACACACTGCAGAGAATTTAAAATTAGAGAGATGATACTGGTTTGGAGATTCTTCTGTAAGTTTTGTGAAAACTCAATGGAGCTCTAATTCCATGCAAGGTCTAGAGAACATGTTTCTTAACTCAGCATTCTCAGCAGGTGTCTGAGTGATGACTTAAGAGATAATGAACTCATTTAAAAATGTGTCATATAAGGAAGAAGGAAAGAACAAGGAATTAATATTTACTAAAAATCTAGATGGATCAAAAATGGTGCTAGGAGCTTTTCATTTTTTATTTACTAAATTTTGGGGAAAAACTGATACTGATTCCATATTCCTACATTCAATACACATCTATTTCCCGCCCCCCCCCCCTTATTTTGAGACTGCCACTTAATCCTCACAATGTAATAATCATACTGTCATTTTTGGAATTCTATGTCTTCTTTTTATAGATAATAATTTTCATTCTGCCAGTGACCATACTGCTTAAGGAATTACCATGGAGCCATATGCATTATAGGAAATTAGAGTAGGTTTTATAGATTGGTAAATCATCCCACTAGTATATCTGATTTCTGTGTCTGGAGCATTATTACCTTAACAATAGTAGCTAACTAACATTAATTGGGTATTATCTCTGTGCTGTGGGACATTGGGAGTTTAATGGTAGAATTCTTGCCTTCTATGCAGGAGACCTGGGTTCGATTCCCAGTCAGTGTACCTCATGTGCAGCCACTAACCATCTGTCAGTGAAAGCTTATGTGTTGCTATGATGCTGAGCAAGTTTCAACAGAGCTCCCAGACTGAGACAAATCAGGAAGAAAGTCTTGCTAATTTACTCTCAAAACTCAAACAATAAAATTCCCATGGATCATAACAGTCTGATCCCCTACCCATCATGGGGATGGCACAGAACAGGCAGCATTTTGTTCTGTTGTGCATGAAGTCAGCATGAGTTGGGGGCCAACTTGAGGGAGGGCAGTTAGTAACAATTATCTTTGTACCAAGTGATTTAATATATGCTTCATATATATTATCCTATTTTACGCAATGAAGTAGAAAGTATTACTAACCTCGCTTACAGTTGAGGGAACTAAGGTTTAGGCAGCCTAATAGTAGAAAATGGTAGGGGTGGGATTATTGCTCAGGCTATGGCAGAGCTGTCACTTAATGACTCCACTGTAAGCTTTCCATTCCTCAGGGCAGGCTGGACTGTGGAAGACAGCAGTGAGAGTCATGCTAGTTTTAGTGCCAGAACTCACTAGGAATGACTCATTCAACTCCTCACCTATAAATGAGGCAAATGGACCATAAACTGTCTGCAAAACATTTCTCCAAATACATCTTTTATTAAATCTTTGCATATAATTCAGGCAACAAAGGAAATATTTGGTGGAAGAGCACTCTGCCCTTAGCTCCACTTTCCTGACCTCAGGGTTTCCCCCCTCATCAGCAGTGGCTCCCAAGCATTGCTTCCTTACCACAGAGTATTGAAAGCACAGTTTGTTCACTACTAAGTTGGATGATCTCCAAGGGAGCCTTATGTAAAGCCTGACACCTACCAATATAAGCTGCTCCATCAGTCACCATGTACTTGTTGCGATTTAATTTAGGAAAGGTGTTATTCTTTTGTTCTTTGGCAGCACAAGCATTCTGTCTTTCCAGATCGAAAAATTTCTGCAAGACAAAGAAAAATAGGTGAATAGAGAACGTTTCTGAACTTGTTCAAAAGCACAAAAGAGGATATTATCCAAATACCAACAATAGACCTCATACTGGGTTGTTAAAGCAACCATCTTGTGGCTTCACATAGATGAGACTATTTTTGTTCTCAAAGTTATATAGGCAACAAGAGGGAAAATTAGCATGCTCAACTAGATCTGTAATTAACACTTTTAAGCTACAAAATGAACACAAATTCATTCTTTCAACAGGACGAGGGCCAGAAGGTTGTTTAATTCTAGTTGTCTTGTTCTTCAGGGTACACTGGCACCTCAGAGTACTTTCTGTTGAGCATGCCAATGAACTGAATGAATATTTTTTTTACATGTTGCACATAAGAAGCAGCAGGCCTATCTCAATGGCTAACTGATTAAACTGGGAGTTTGCAAAGGTCAAAGTAGATCTTGCCAAGGGAACAAATACTTTCCTTCTAAACACCTAGGTCTACAAGCTCTTTTATTAAGCAACTAAAAAAATATATATATATATTAAAAATAAAAAAATAATCAAAACTTCAAACCAAGAATCCTGTATTTCCACTCTAAAGTGAGGCAAAAAGCAACATTCCAGTTCACCCAAGGCCAAGGATAGGGAGATAAAAGAAGGGGATTGTGAGCAGGAGTGTCTCAGGAATGCATTGTTGTTAAATGCTTAGATGAGACTATGAGTCCCTAGGATGTGGAAACAGTTAATGTGCGTGACTGCTAACAGAAAGTTCAGAGGTTTCAATCCACCAAGAGTCACCTTGGAAGAAAGGCTTAGTGATCTACTTCCAAAAAATCAGCCATTGAAAACCCTGTGAGCACAGTTCTGCTAGTTCTACTATGACACACATGGGGCTGCCTTGGGTTGAAGCTGTTTTAGATGAGGTTTAAAGTTCAACTGAGATCCCAGGAAGATGCCAGTCAAAGGAGAGGGGCTCAGGGAAACATCGGAAAAGGTTAAACATTTTCAGAACTACACTGAATCTTTCTGGAATATCTTATAGCTGTGGAATCATGTGTGTTTGGAAGAAATAAGAAGCAGAGATAAAAATGTAATGATATCTAGAAATGGAGAAGCCATTTACAGTTTTAAAACTGTAAGTGCTCGAATTTGGTTTTGGGAAAAATGAGATTGACCTTCCCCTTCTCCCCAGGGTGGGATGGAGATATGAACTAGGTGATCACTAGGGTCTTTTCTAGCCCTTAAAATTCTATTTTGATTTTTGGAGGAATACTTGAGATCAGTGGTACACAGGCCAAAATCTACCACCCCAAACTGTCTACTCCACAGCACAAAGAAATATTCTTCTAGGGCTTTACCATCATGGTTATGGTAATGAGGCCCAGACCCCCTTATTTCCTCAGCTTATGTCTTCTGTAAAATATGTGTCACTTTGGAGGGTACACATGTAGCCTTTGTGGACTATTGAAATTGGGTTAATAACCAGAGGCTGCTCTTAAATCATAATTATATGTCTGTACTAAGGGTACCACCACTCAGTACCAGCCATCAATCAGTTTGGTTGGATATTCTATTTATTACCAAACATGTCCAGTCATTTAATGATTTCTTCTTGAAGAAGATATTATAGAACCAGGATGAATTTGAAAAAGAAAAACAAAACAAAATAACATAAACATATTCTAATTAAATGACTAAGGTTAGCCTGACCCAAGCCATGGTATTTTCAGTTGCCTTATAAGCATTCAAAAGCTGGACAATGAAAAAGGAAGACCAAAGACAAATTGATGCCTTTGAATTATGGTTTTGGTGAAGAATATTGAATATATTATGGACTGCCAGAAGAATGAACAAATCTGTCTTGGAAGAAGTATAGCCAAGATACTCCTTAGAAGGGAGGATGGCACTCATCTCACACACTTTGGACATATGATCAGAGGGGACCAGTCCCTGGAGAAGGACATTATGCTTGGTAAAGTAGAGGGTCAGTAAAATAGTGGAAGTGGCAAGGGTGAGGCCAGAAAGTCAGCATATTTAGAATTATTTCCAGTTCCCTAATTAGTCTCCCTCAAAGTAGTCAGTGCCTTAGCACATGGCCCAGGAGACCTGGAGCAAGTGTAGGACCCCAGGCTAAGGGGGCTTCAGGGCTGCAGGAATCTGTACAGTGTAGCCTATCAAGGCCTTACAGATAAGAATGTTTTAGGTGAATGAAGCAGTTTCAACAAAATAAAGGGGATGTCACAGAAAGAGTGTTGTAAAAAGGGCTAGACTTCAATTTTAGTTTCCTTTTTGGTGTGATATTTTTGAAAAATTATTTAACCTTCAATTCCTCATTTATATAATGGGGATAAAATATTGACTTTAAAATTTGTGTGAATATTAAATGAGACAATATTTGGGAAAGTACTTTTACAAACTAAAATGTTCAAATGAAAATGGTGGAGTGTTTATAACAGGAAGAATTTGACTAATAGTGGAGAGAAAGAAACAAGAAATTTATGTGAAATCCTGGGGTTTGAACCCAGGCAGACTATGAAATTTGCTTGGAAGACTGTCAAGAATATGCTAAAATTCTCATTTTCAATGGAATTTATTGAAGCCCCAAGTCACTACATACATAGAAATATAAGGAGAGACTCTGTCCCTGAAAAATAGACAACACAACCTTCCTTGCTTAAAGTGAAGATAACTTGAAGTACTTACTGATGAAGACTAAAGAGTCTTACAGCCTGCTGTATGGTTTATGGGAACTCTGGTAGTGCAGTGCCTAAGGGATTTGACTGCTAACCAAAAGGCTGGTGGTTCAAACCCACCGGCCACTCCTCGGAAGGAAGACTGGGCAATCTACTTCCATAGAGATACTGCCTCAGAAACCCAAGGAGGGGTCTGACTTGACAGAAGTGAATTTGGTGTTTTTTTTTTTTTCTTGTGTGGTTTATACCTCAACATAAAGAAAATGAAAATCCTCACCACTGGACCAATAAGCATTATCACAATAAAAGGAGAAAAGATTGAAGTTGTCAAAGATTTCATGTTACTTGGATCCACAGTCAACACCAATGGAAACAGCTATCAAGCAATCAGATGATGTATTGCACTGAGCAAATCTGCTGCAAAAGACCTCTTTAAAGTGCTGAAGAGCAAAGCTGTCTCTTTGAAGACTAAGGTGCACCTGACCCAAGTCATGGTATTTTCAATTGCCTCATATGCATGTGAGAGCTGGACAATGAATAAGGAAGACTGAAGAAGAGTCAGTGCTTTTGAGTTGTGGTGTTGGTGAAGAATACTGAAAGTACCATGGACTGACAGAAGAACTAACAAATCTGTCCTGGAAGAAGACAGATTCCTCGGAAGCAAGAATGGCCAGACTTTGTCTCATCTATTTTGGTCATGTTGTCAGAAGGGACCATTCCCTGAAGAAGGATATCAAGCTTGGTAAAGTGGAGGGTCAGTAATAAAGGGGAAAACCTTCAATGAGATGGACTGACACAATGGCTGCAATGATGGGCTCAGGTATAGCAAGGATTGTGAGGATGACACACGACCAGGCAGTGTTTCTTTCTGTAGCTGTGAGTTGGAGCTGACTTGACTGCACTTAACAGCAACAATATATGGTCCAGTGGATGGCACAAATGATTAAGTGTTCAGCTATGGAAAGGCTGGTGGCTCAAGTCCACTCAGAGGCACCTTAGAAGAAAGGTCTGGTGATCTATTTCTGAAAGATCACAGCCATTGAAAACCTCATGGAGCAGAGTTCTACTCTGATTCACATGGGGTCACCATGAGTCAGAGGTGACTCAATAGCAACTGGTTTGGTTTTTGGTGTGCTATTCATTTACATGGTGTTACATAGACCCAAATAATTCTCAACTACTTCTTCTTGCTTCTGAATTCTATAAACTTGAATTCACAACTAAGGATACTAACAAACACCAAACAATGAAAAGGAAATGTGAAAAAAAAGATATAAAATGAAAATAGGAAACTACATTTTAAAATATTTTTCACTGTTAAAGATTCTTATTGGAAGTTCATGTGTTTGGATATACTGCTTTCACAGATGTGCAGGGAATAAATTCTTTTTATTCAATAGCACAGTAAATGTAATACTTACAACTTTCAAACTGCAGTTGGCTATTTCAGTACAAATAGCTTTAAGAGATGAAATAAAGTTAAATGTAAGGGGATCAGTTTCCTTCCAGAAGCTTATAAGGAGTCGAACTTTAACGCTTCGCAAAATTAATGCTTCTCTTATTTTCCCATCCAAATCTGGCCAGTAAGTCCTGCAGAAATAATATCCACATAGACAAAAATAAAGAAAATAAATTAGTTTGGGAAAGAAATTTACTATACTACAGTGAGTGTTTATTTCAATCTGGTCATTACTTTGTTCTGTAATATGTAAATAGCTTTGTAAGATATGTTGAAAAAATGCCTTCCAGGTTAGAGCACTTTAAGAGTGATGTTTTAGTGAGACCTGTCTGTGCTGGTGAGGGCTCCCATCACCAACACTCTGTCCGGTGGGCCTAGAGTGCATGCAAACTGACTCACCTTGTGCTATGTTCATTACACCTCCAACCTGGGCCTCAGTTTGTGCACTAAGAATCAACTTTCCAACAGAATTTCTGTTATACCCACTCTGACCCAAATGCTGCTCAAATCTCTTTTCTTCTGTAACTGTCTCCCAATAAAAATCTGCTCTGATTATCTGAGATCTCCTATCCTCTTAACTCCAGACCATCCTTAATCTGCTCTCTTCTGACCAGGTCTCCCACTATTCTCCCATCACTTACCCTTTTCACTGGGCAACCAGCATTCTCCACCAGGCAAACAGTTTCCCCGTAAGCTCAGTTTCTTCCATGAATCCTCCCTTAACTTTTTACCCAAACTAAATCCTGATTCTTCCCTAAGGCTATGACTTCTCACGTCTTTCCATGTGTTTTCTACCACTACCTACCAATTTGGTTTAGGATGTGAGATCACACAATACCCATGCCCACACAATGTCATTCCAGAATTGCCACTTAATTCTCATGTTA